TTTATTTTTTTGTGGAGCGATGATCAGGGGGTGCACAAACGTTTCACAAAGTAGAGCCAAAAGAACGATTTTTCCTGATTAAAAGCTTTGTTGGCTTGGCAATGCGAATGCGTGCCTAATTTGTAAACCAGGGGATCTGTTTGTTTCTTTTCGTGTGGTATTCGAATACTGGACGGACGGTGGCAACCTGTTTATCTGTAAGACCTCCATTTATCTGTTAACTGACAGATCATGTACCTTAAAATCTCTTTTTTCCTTCAAAAGTTTCATACAGGACAAACCGGATAAATATTTACTGCGAAGATATGCATGTTGATCAACACACACTTCACTCTACGTATCTGCTAATTATAAAGATCTGTGACACCATGATTCGCATTCTCTCAGCTGTTTCGTAAGTAGTATGAATGCGACCAAGTTTTCTTTGCTTAGTGGAACTACAGATATCTCCAGGCAGAGGCCTACGTTTATCCACTTCAAGATGAAGCAACGCGATACTATCCTAAACAAAGCTGCGATGAACTAATGGGATTACTCGAAGGATTTAGTGGAGAAGCATTCAGCTGATTAACATAACAATAGCCGACGATCAATCAACCTCAACAGTAGAGAAATACGATGATTGCTGAAGTTGTCAGCTTCTGTACAAAATGGGGCAATGAAACAACCTATTCACCCGATAGATTACGAGCATCAGTACGACATAACAACTGTTTAGTCTGTGGCGAATGAAGCAGCAATGGGTCGGAAAGGACAATGGATAACAGATTCAGATTTTTAAACAGTACTTCTCTATGGTAGCTAAGTAAGCAGTTATAAAAAAACAACGATTTTTAGCCCGACAAAAAGAGCAAAAGTTTCTTTTGACTGCTTTACGAAGGAGAAATGCGGCGTGTGACGAGATAAACAGGTAGGTTTGATACGCATCCTTAATAGAATAATGTCCTTATGTCCAGTGATACCGGAGTGTGGGGAAATCATTCGCATATGGTTACATACAGCCTTGTAGGATGGATGCTGTGTGAATCAAAAATACGGATTTAAGGAAATCCTGTCGGTCTATTTACTCGCATCAGACATAGGTGATCGAATTTCACTGGAGCTGTGGCAGCTAGAACCAATGCATTTGATGCACGGTTTGTGAGATAAAAAGTGAACTGAACGATAAAACACGTGATCTGTCTCATCTGCTAGTTGAGTTGCGCTTCGGTACGATGCGGTCTAATCGCAGCACTCGTTCAAACACTGGGTTTCACCACTGCACTGGTACGCTGCCTGTTCTCCAGGTTGCATCAGTCCATACCGTAGCGCTGCACCCAGCCAGATGAAACACGTGACTGTGCTGCTACGTGATCTGAATTACTGTGATATCACTACACCGCATGTCGGAAACCCTAATGTGACGCGACTGGCCTTAAGTTAGTTTAGACAGAGGTATTGAAGACGACTGATTTATTGGAATATGTACAAATAACAGCTTTTGTCCAAGTTCCTCGTCACAAAGTCAGACGACAGTTTGCAATCGTTATTATCGCGCATTCCAGAAAGATTGATTTTCAATCACTTGGTTGTATGCACCACATGGTACAAAAAGTCTAGTGAATAGCGTCCGTCTGGCCATCTCCCCGCCACACCCAGACGCCGTATGAATACAATCGAGGGTCAAAAATACTGCTTTCGTGGCCTATGACTGAGCTGGACCACTGACTGAGAAAAAGCACATTTTCATGTCGTTATTACTGAAGAAAGTGCACATAAGTTCTTACTTGTGGAAATGCATTCAACGTGAAGGCTTCCAGGATGAGCTACAGCCAGACTACAATGAGATTCTGTTACGACATTCTATTTATTATGATTTCCTCTTTATGTGAATTATTCCCGGAGTTTTTGTGAATAACCACAAACTGTGGTTGAAATAGAATCGAGGTCGAAATTCCTCGAGTTGTATGGATTGTTCTCGAAAGACATACAATGGAAGTTGGGCTGATAGGTCAGAGCACTTCTCCCCGTAATCACGGACTTGTTACAAGTCAACTTTTATTTGACTCAAATTTCTCCCCTGATATTTTCGTAAACTCGTGTTACCATTAACCAAAAATGGCCTTATATTCAGCTATACCACCTTACTGTCAACCAGTTATTTCTACTTCATGTAATTAAGTAGTCGGCAGGATAGGCTACAGTCATGGTACTGACAACCCATTCACACATTCATCTGATGTGCGCAGGAGATCCAGATGAGCTTGGATGAAACTTTTTTCCGTCGTGTTCTTCAGCTGACCTTGCACAGTTCATTCTACTTCAAATTTCAGCTAGACCAAGTTTCAAGATGCTAAAGTATTAGTGTGGGGATGCCACTATTCAATGGTCTCTAAGCTGGGAAACACTAGCAGTCAAATGAACAATTTTGATGAATCTGGTCATACTATGTGCAAATTGCAAGCGAATTAGCTTTCGGAAACTTTGACACATTCCGTCTATTTTCCAAGCAGACCTGTTTGAGCTAGGTGCACAGAGGATTAAATAATCGCCGTTTGTTTTGGTACGACTATCTCCGTTCCAGATGGTGGCAAATACTACTACAAATTGCAGCTGTGGAAGTGGGCTTAAAATTTGCAATCACGTACCCACAATTCGGAGCGATTATTCGGCAAATACTGAGTCTTTGCCTTATTTAAATAAAGCAATGGGTTTCAAGCTTCCCAGTACTGAAATGGAGAAATGTGCTGATCGCATATATCCAGAAAAAAGTAGTATATCGATTGAGGACAAGTAAGGTGTAGGCTGGTTCATTTGCTTGTGGAATTCATTGGGATCTGAATCTTGTTTACTCTGGCGGATGCAACCGCTAGTATGTTTACTAGTGATTTTTCCTTGGTCGTTCTGCATCGTCAATGCTTGAGCATCTTTGGCCTTTTCAACATACAGGTAGTTCGCATTCACCCTAGTGGGCCAGAAGAGCCTCCTAAGGAAAAAAACGGAAAAAGGAATCGATTCCGTGGTTGTAGATGAAGTTGGTATTCACAGCATTCCCATCCGAGAAGTCTTTTTCTATCTTTCAGTTACCCGCACTAGTCTATATCGGGCTAGTCCATACTATGTTTGATTTTCCGTTCTATTAGTGCATAGATTGTCACGCCTTGATTTAAGCTCCGGAAATTTTAAATGCATGATAAGTTTGTGATCACTATTCCATTTCCGTATACTGGATATACTGGGACCATCACTTCCAAGCAGGCAGAGTTGTTTGCGGTTGAGTGACGTGAAAATAACCGGCTTCTCAGGCATGATGATTCAGGTGCATCCGGTATGTCCCGCTGGGGCGATGGTAGCACGTTCGCGCTACGTGTCACATGTCCGGGGTTCAACCCCCATAACCTCCAGCACTATGCGCTACTAGTGAGCATTATAAAGAGGAAAACTAGGGTGCAAAGCAACATTGGAGGTAAATCCAATGTGCCACCCATGCATAAAAGTTGGCTTATCTCTGGCATCTCTTTCCCCTGTTTGATGGGGGTTGGTTAATCCTGACAAATGCGTTTTAACTGTGAGTACAACACAAGGATAGGCAGTAATAACAGAATAGTGGCTTCGAGCAGTGGTTGAAGGATACATCCTAAGCAAATGGTACCATACAAAGCAAAAATACTTTATGGAATGCCTAACCAATGCAGTGAGCTACAGGTGTGCATTGGAGTAACGATGTAACCCACGTAACGATGGATACTACTGATGAGGCATGCGAATAGTATGTGGTTTTTTCTTAAGTTCGCATCGCGACTATTGAGAATCGAGATTTTTGAGGAATTTGTGGAATTGCTTTGTAGCATTTGTTTACATTTGAGTGATAGTCAGTGAGTACACAGGAAAGTTTTGGAAGACTTGTTCAAAAAAGGCGGATGCTCAGTTTTTATAAACAAGATGCATATGGGGGTTTTGCTTCCCTGTCCAATAGTCTGTAACTGTTTAGTTGGTGTTTTTCAATATGTAACCGCAGCAAAGGCCTTTCTCTCACTAAGGTTTGTTGTAATTCACGTTTTTCTGTTGATTCCCATCACAATCTCCATCGTATTGTTGCTTGTTCTGGCTGGCATGAGATCCAACAAGAAATGCGGACCTCAGGTGTACTTGGAAAAATTCCTAAGACAAATTTGGCTAGTATGGTACAGGTGTATCGAATAATAATAACAAGAATAATCTATCATTTGTGACACCCTTCCGATGCCTACCCGCCATGCTACTCGAAGGAAACACGAGGGCTGGAATACTGCCAGGTTACCCAAGCCTAGACAGAAAAAGTCGGGAGGCAGAGGTTGGGTTTGAACCACGGACCTTCCGGTCAATAAATCCGCCCTCTAACCACTTATCCGTCTCGACGTCGTCCCTCGTCATCGGTGAAGTAATTTCGGATTTTATCGGACCATGAAGATCTGATTATCAGAAATCGAGATTCTAAAATTCTGAAGATGTAACTGAAAATGCATGGTGCTACGGAGGAAGGCGATATTGTGCTTATGCACAAAGCCTGTCGTTTTCATTCAGCAGGTGTACTGACCCAAGGGCAACTAAGAAGGGATAAATTTGGTTTTACATTCCTAACTGGGGGTAGCTCCGGGATACGACGGGTCACTTGAGGATAAGAATAATACGTGGATGCAAGTAGGTGAACAGTAGTCTCGAGTCATTGAACGTTTGTGCATAGTTGACATGCAGCCGAATGTGCTACTAGTACCGGTGGTTACCGAACGAACTAAGTTCGGGGTTGAAGCAGGCAAAGAATGAGGGGAAATTCTTCTAACAAATCATTTTTTCGTGCTCCATTAGGGCAAAGCAGCCCACTCATTTGGTAAAACTTACACCTGTGAACACAACCCTTCTGAGGAGGGTAAAAATGCCTGATCAAAAGAGCGTTTCTACTTAGGGGACACAGCTAGCTTCCCATATACTTGTTGTCTTTCACGTTGCATAGTAAAATCTACATTATTCGCTTTTATTTCCAGGGTTTTGTGATAGCGACGTAACAAATATCCTCCCCACTAAGGTGAGTGTGACGAAAATTCAAAAGATGTGTATTATCGTGGCTGAGACAAGTAATTTTGCGTCAGTACAATATATGAACATAACTGCCATCACAAGCTGTCAGTTCAGTTGTTGTATGTGCCATCTAACCATACACAACGAATAACGCTCCAGGGGACATTTGCTGCTATGCCGCACCGACCGGTAACTTCAGAAATATATTATACTTCTTTTAGGGCTTAGGAAACTTCAACACGGATTGTGACTGGATTCACACCAAACCGCTTTTGAACCTGGGCCACGTCCAGAAGAGTTTCTTTATACTGCCGTGTAACTTTGCAGGAGTGCTTTTGATGGCGGTTTTTTATTTAGCCATCGGCTTGTAAATCCATGTCAAGTAAAAAACATCCCTTGTTGCTAAGTTTCTTGTTAGGGGAACAAATCAGCCACTTCAAAACCCTGCATGTATTTGTCTCCTGGCTCCTAAGATGTTCCGTTCGGAGACGTCTTGTATCTCGGGCTACACTATTCTAGAAAGTCAGTACAAGCACCGACCCATTGATACGCTCCACTACTCTCCCAAACAACGCACTGATGATGTCACCTCGATTGGTGACGGAACGCCTGCAGTCGAATCGCCCAGCTCACTGAACAAAACAACGACCATCTACGCTACATTGGCTACCAACATTTTCCTCTATAAAAAGTTATCTTGAGGTTCCTTTTCTTGCGAGCGAAACTACCCTGTACGACAGGTCTTTCTTAAAGGGTGATAATGGGGTGACAAAAGCACTTGCACAGCTTACCAAAGTCTCCACTTATCTGCAGAGGTATTCACTCCGATTCTGAGCAGCTTTGCTGATATGAAAACACTAGATGCCCCAAACATATCGGGTTGTATACGCACATGTCAGACTGTGATACGTTGTGGAGGTATGGTTATGCAAAATGTGGAAAAAATTCACGTGAGTGAGCTACTGAGACGATATAAAAATCGAGAAGCTGACGAATGAACGAATGAAAGTTAAATTTTTAAAAAAATCAATAGCCTGGAAAAATCAAAAACGAAAGATTCAGCTGGGTTTCAGGTGAGTCTCGCAAAGCCAAATCTGTTGGCTAGAATCAATAGTTGTTTTCAAGGTCACCGTTTTCAAGGTCACCTGAACCGAGGACAAAAGGTGCGTATTGTTATAAATTGTATCATATGTCTAAATGAATGAAGATAATTCCACACCAAAACCTGTATACGGACAATAGTTGTGAATGACAGTGTCTACCTGAGTGATAATCAGCGACATTCTTCGTGGGCAACTTAACAGGTCAACGTAACTCACCCTCAACAAGCAAAATTTGGTTGCAGTAGAAGTGACCTCATTATTCATGGACAAGCATTAATTAAATTTAGAACTGGATTTCAAACAATATATAGGGCTAATCGAAATATTACCACTCCGTGCAATGGTATTAGTGGCCAACGCTAACGACGTTCGCAGTTTTTTTCAACCAACCTGCTATATTCGGAATGAGGTGTAGGACAACGACGGAACATTTCTACCAACTTGAGTCCACATTGCTGTTATTGATAAGTTTTTTTCCTGGAAACAGCACAAAAGAACCACAGGTGATGCCGTCCCTTAAAGAATACTCAAGGTTATGTCACGAAAAGTATCAACGAGCAACTGCCTATATGTCGTTTGACGTGAATATCAGTTTTAATCAGGGAATTTAGGAGTTTCTAGAACCAAAAGGAGGCTTACTTTGGAGAATGGTGCATCTACTGGAGTGATTAAAGTGCATAATAAAGAAAAAAAATAAAAATTACAGCTTGATAAGCATCAAAAGTCCTAAAAATTATTGGTGTATTTCTTATACAGTGTTCGTTGTTGGAGAGTTGTACTTTCAAGGTTGTAAAAGTCTCTGTCTGTTTCATAGATAACTTGCTCATCAAGTTAATAATTAAATTTCCGGAGCCAGAACTTAAAGGGCTCCCTTGGGCGGGAGCTCACCACCAAACCATTTGGGAGATTTGTGTAGCCTTACCCAAGTGCTTCATGAATCTAGGGCTTATGTTCAGAGCACGTTATCGCTTTGTCCTTCTGCATTCCATTTTCAGAGATGTAAACGTAAGGATAAATGAATGGTTAGCGTTTACGGTTCTGATTTCGTGTGGTTGCCCAAAATAAATTTATTACCAGGCTAGTCTTACTAGACAGCCATTTTGGATCTTTGCAAATCAGAGGACGACGCTGATGACTGGGCTGGCTTATTTCAGTCAAAGGGCATTCTGTTCCTAACGGAGCAGTTATTTCTGCCATGCAACAGCTCGAAAATTAGATCTTTCAGTGTGTGAGTAATAATTCTGTGCAAAATGGAAAAATTGCCATCCTAATACTACGGTGACAGGGAATGTTGGCAAAAAAGTTAATTCACGTGTAAAGTGTTCAATTTTATGCATCCTGTGCAAAATCGCAGGATTTCACTAAGATGAGCCAAGGAAGTCCCTGTGGTTAATGTGCTTAAATGAATCCAACAATTTCACTGAAGAAATTTTTTTCAAATTTTTTTACGATATAATTGAAAACAGATTATCCTTGCGTAGAGCAGTTATGAGTAACAACATAAAATTTGCCACTGTGTGTTCTTGTTCCTAGTCCTGGGCTAGTTACTTATAGCACTACCAGGTCATCAACATAGATCCATTCGTAAGCCTGACTATAAATCCTGTCACATTGTACGGCGTAAAAGCCTCCACGGATCTGTCACGACCGTATTAACTGTATTCCAGTGCCGAAGGTTATGACCGTTGTCGGAAACGGTTGCGTATACAGCTTCAGCATCATCTATTCGGAAATACGCTCACAAGATATATGAAGAACAATCCTGGTCTTCTAAGCAAATATACAGTTACTACGCAGGTATCACGGAATGGAATCTGAGGTCAGATTTCTGGCACGTCACCGTACAGGAAATCCATACTTCCAATGTTCTGTTTTGTCTCCGTTTGCTTTCACACTCTCGGCTTCGCTAAACTTGATATAATGGGAATTAGTACCCAATAATGATCGCACAATCATATGGCGCATACCGCACGCAGAATAGCGGCTTCCTGCTGTTCATTCCAACCCATACGACGGTAGCGTCAGCTGAGTACAATACAGACTATGCTAAATCCCTTTATCAAAACTATTGTTTGGTAGTGAGGCTATCAGAATGTGAATAGAACATAGCTGTCGAGGTCCGTTTGCACAATCGTATCAGTCACGGTATTCCGACAATGAATCGGATTGAAATGGTGTGACTCCAATCCATCGATTACAGTTTCATTTACTTTATTTGTCACGCACTAGTTGCAATGCTCTGGGTGTGACAAATCTACACAAATCTAGCTGTATACACCACAACGTTGGCGTTGTTTAATTCATCTTACTTTCCTCTATTTGGTATTTTGCATTAGAAAGTTTATTTAAAAAGTGCGCAAATAAATCGAAAGGTTGAAAGGTTCTGTGTACGCAAGATTATCCGTTGTCATTTGAATTTAGCCAATCGCGATTGACTTATTTAAAATGACGCAGGATTGCACGTCTGACGATTGAATAACTATGGTAATTTCAAGCCGATTTGGTTAAAATTAGTCGCAATTAATCTTACTGGTACTAATTTGTCTGATGTTGTCTTGCGTTCCCAGATCACAAGAGATAGTGATGGAATATTGTTAGAACGAAAAGCTAAGAAGTTTTTCAGTCCATTTCCATGAGCTTAAATATTACAGTATTATACTACAAATTGTGGACAAGATTACTGCAGGCTCCTTTCATTGCTGAGGAAACCATGAATACGGATATCCTTCAGAATGCCTGGGCTTAATTGCGCTGAAAGCTTTGAAATCCAGTTTCAAAAATGAGAAAAGGGCAGCTAGTCTGCCTGATATCGTACCGCTTCGGTGATACGAAGACGTCACACAACGGAGGGGAAAAGTGGTTTACACATTTGAGCCCCGTCACAGATGTGGTAACAATTGTATTAAGAATACAGATCCAATGCAAAATATAAAACTTACCTTTGATCAGCTTATTCGTTTGTGCTTCGAAAGTGATACCAGTCGATGTACGTATAACACAATTCTTGAACTACGGTGAGTTCTAATCCAAAAACCCATAAAACAAGACGTGAAATCGGTTGAGTTAGAAAAATGTTCGTAAGAAAACACGACAACTTCTATTAAAGTGAACAAGCTTAGCATTTGCGGATGGTGGCTAATAGTAAACGACTGAAGTGTACAGATAAGTTTTTTTTTACGAAACTGGATTCAAAAGCCGCAGCATTGAATCACTTCCAGCCTTTAGAGTGATCCGATTAATAGAGCCAGTGCTCCGGGACTGACTGTGATATGTAGATGGGCATTCCCAGACTTCACAAAAATTTAAATTTCGAACTGTGGGTCAGAGAAGTACTCTGTAAAAAGCAGCGCATTTACACCCCTGTAGTCTAGAAGTTTCTCTGGAATTGGCTTCTACAAAAATTGTCTTTTTCCCGATATGTTGTCAGGAGTGAAGACATTCGTGTTTGCATAGAACCCGACGATGCTTACGTTAGGAAGAGCCATGAAAGTGAAGCTATGATGACTTCTTAGTTTTTAGTGCAGTTAAACAAGGCAGTCGGTCTGTCCTTCCTCCTGTCACTTTTTAAGGACGCTGAAACTTTCGCGGATGCATGAAGGCAATCTTGACTCTCTACCAAGTCCATCTCAGTGTTTACAATAAAGGTATTACAAAAAGACTACCAGAACGCGGTCAGCTATTCCCAATCCAGTGTACCCTTTTCTCTCCTAGTGAACCCACTGTTTTCAGTTCCAAACACACCTCACCTAGACTAAACGCTATCGTGATGAAGACTGGGTGACTTACATATTTTATAACCACACATATACGACCACACGTTACATGGGTTTCCGAGAGCTCCAAATGCACAAAGCGGAATCACTCCATCCCGATCACTGTCCGCTAATGTTGATTATTTGAACTA